TTGGAAATGAATAACTTGACCGGTTTCCATGTTATGATAAGTCAGAGTTCTGGAGAAACCTCACTTCTTAAGATGGAACAGTGGTGCTGACATACCTTGGCTAGTTGCAACTGCATTAGATAAACAAACCACTGACCCTGTGCTCGTGGTTTTTCTGTGGTGACGTCTAAACCAAGAGTTCTGGTCTGTCCTTCTCTAAACAAACTGGAGTAATAAATCATAGTTTGTTGATAGTGTATGATTCTGGTTCCTGGAATGGAGACATAAGCCAGAGCCCTGGTTCAGATGTCACAATAAACAAACCTTGTTTGAAGGTTCTATGGTTTGTTTAGCTATAACAGTGGCGGGAGGAGGAGGTGAACCAACCTGGGTTTACAATAAGCCAGAGCCACAGTTGATTGTGTAACACAGATTTGCTCCCTGTCTAGACGGGGGCTGACCTTGCTATGTAAGAGCAATCCTTCCTTGTCTATCCTGTTTGACTGCAGAACGTCCAGCTGTTTATTCTCTTCTGAACCTGTTGGCTTTTGCAGACATGCATGTGATCTCCCCCATCTCTGTGCACCTCTGTCTTTTCTAAATGGTCAAGTAAAAGATGATGCAGTGCAGAAACGCCAAGGATGTAGGCTGGTCTCTCATAGTCATATCTCTAGTGCATCTTTAAAAATCTGACTTTGCCGTTTTAGAGAAACAGGCATTTGGGTTTCTCTTCAACCATATATTTAAGTCTCCCTTCTCTGCTTCGTAGGGAGAGCGTGGCTACCCTGGCGGCCCAGGTTTTCCAGGTTTACAAGGACCCCCTGTACGTATGAGAAACCTTCTCCTGATATCGTTGGGTGTATGTGATCTTGAATTGCTGGTTGAAGTTTCTACAGGAGTGATGCGTTGGACTGTAGACTCTGCTTTCTGAATATTTCTCTTCTAAGCTGCTCTCAGTGTAACCAGCATTTGAGCACTAACTTGATTTTATATGGGGAATCCCAGAGGGGGAATTCTGTAACTTGTAGTTTAACTAAGAGTGCTTCTACACTGTATAGTTATCTGTTTTAAATCAACTGGAGTTCCATGTCACTTGGTTCTGGACAGGGTAGAACAGTGTGTATATATGTCCCCAAATTTGGCACAGAGCAAGAACACACTTAAAGGTACATCTGTGCCAAATTTGGTGCTGATTGGAGGTCCAGTTTCGTAGTTATAATTTTTTGTTTGGGGTACCCCTATTTTTGAGTTGACTTATGGAATGCTGAATCCTGCTATCAGCATAATGTATTGGTGACCACTCAGGCACCAATAATTAGTTTTTGAGCTCACTTTAATGGCTGTAGCTCCATACTGTGTAATCATGGGATCTGTAGTTTAGTGCAATGATTCCCAATCAGATGTTCTTGGACAAAAACTCCCAGAAGCCTTCATCACTACCTGTGCTGGCCAGGATTTCTGGGAGCTGTAGTTCAAGAACATTTGGGGATGCAACGTTGGGAAATTCTGATTTAGTGAGATACCCTTTGATTTGCATACCTGCATTAAGCAAGACTTAGTGGTCTTATAGGCTCTGTCCAATGCCATTATCGTATAATTCTAGGATTATGAGAAAATTTCACATGCTACTTATATAACAATACTTGACAAATAATAAAACAGTAAAAATAATGAGTGATATGCAAATGTCCAGTCTTTTCAGTTATTCGGTGAGGTAAATAATTTCAAGCAAAGGAGAAAGTATGTTTGCAAGTAATCATCTCATGGGATAATAGAATTTTTTTAATTTGTTGTTTATAAATCTTCACCTACTCTTCCATTTTTTTTCCAATTCAGGGTCCTCCTGGCCTACCAGGGATGAAGGTAAATTTTTCCAAACTTCGTTGTCCAGTGTTTGATCCTAATGTCTGCTCTAGCTATAAATCTAATTGTCAGCCTGAGACTCCTTTCTGTGATGTTATATATTAAAAAGGGCAGAATAGTATATTTTTCATATGTGTTGTGTCAGCATTTGTACTGATGCAATTGAACTGCAATTGTGTTGCTAGTCTATTAGGTCATCTCGCATTTTCTTGGCATAGCGCTATGTCAGTATATGCTATAGTCTTGTTATCTTTCAGCTTCATTAAATGTGGGAGTATGCCATTATGTTTAAGTGAAGCACGTTATCTTTCAGCTTCATTAAGTTCTAGATTATTCTTTGAGACATGAGCTACAGTCCAAACCTGTCTCTGTTACGGACATCATAAAGAGAATTCATTTCTCTTTGTTTCGTGAATTCATTCTTTCTTCCTTTCTAGGGTGAGCCCGGTGAAATCATCACGTCAATGCTACCAGGACAGAAGGGTGAGACAGGATTCCCAGGTCTTCCAGGAATACCTGTAAGTTGATAAAGAGGTTACCTTATGAGGTCTTGCATGAAAAAGGGGGGTGGGGGTGGGGGAGAGAAAAAGAAGAATAAAATGCAGAGGATTATAATGGGCACTGCAGTATAAGCAACTACAGACTGTTTTGTATTAAATTAAAACTTTAAAGCATCCTCAGGTGGACCTCTGCCACCCTCAGTTGTGCAGTGGCAGGAGGCACGTTGCTAACCTCTGGTTTGAGTCTTCAGTTTCGTGCTTGTTGGAAAAGCCATTTTGGATTGTGTGGTTTTTCCCCCCCTTCTCTCATTACAGGGCCCACCCGGTCCCGTCGGCGCACAAGGTCCCCTCGGTCCTCCAGGGCCACCAGGTTTGACGGTACATTTCCCTGATTTCCTCTACCTAGCTTGCAGGATCCGTTGAGTGGTGCCAAGGGAAGTCCTGAGGTGGTGCATTACAGTTTCTTCAGCTCTTTCAGTAGCGGGGAGGCAAAGAGATGGAGAAAGCTACTGGGATGAATCTAAGGACTTTTCTCATAGGCTGAATCATGGCTTCGGTCTCTGGCAGTGGAGCTAGAGGCTGGGAGTTCGATTCCCCTCTGGGTCTCTTTAACAGGGGCTGGACGTGAGGATCCATTGGGTCCCTTCCAGCTCTGTGGATCAAAGGTTATGAGGTTATTAATAGCACAGAGGGTGGCAGTGAGATACGTTGAAGGGGATAAAAGTGGAGGAAGGGTGGAATTTGTGTTTGCTATTCTCCTCCAATTACTTCAGGAGGTGGTGAGCGCTGCAACGCTGGAGGCCTTCAAGGGAAAAGTGGACCACCCTCTGTCGGATCTGCTTGGATTTGGATTCCTGTGTCAAGCAGGGGGTTGGGCTTGATGGCCTTCTGGGCGCCTCCCAACGCCATCGCTCTACGATTCCATCTCTTCGGGGATGTTTTAACCAAATATCGTTGATTGCTTCAGTCTGCCTGGTGGCTGGCCTTTGACTTGAGGAACTAGGCAGACCTTGTTGCCTTCAGCCATCAAAGATAACAAACTTGTCTGGTTCAGGAAAGACTTCATACATCTAAAAATGTTTCGCCCAAACAGGAAAGTGAAATTAGGCAAGAGGCGAAGGGCAGGAGGAAGGCGGGATCCTCAGGTGCCCTGCCCCATTTGTAATCCCTCAGATCCTAGTCTGGAGGATTCTTTGAACCTGTCCCGTCTGTCCAGCTTTCCTTTATTCTCCCAGGTTATTTTTTTCCCAGACCAGTCTCAGAGGTGGTGGTGGGAAAATAAGAACCCCCCTGCACATTTGTTCCAGTTCAGTTCAGCTCCATCAGACCAGCCCGTTCCGTTACACCTCCGGTTGGCTTACATGAGAATCCCCTTCCGAGCCCTAATGGCATGGCTAGCTAGGTGGAGAGGACCGACTGTGTTTCTACGGGTGACCCACCAGAGGTTCATTGTACACTTGCAGAAGTAATCATGGGAAAATATGTGTTTGTCGTTTACAGGGTCCTCCTGGACCGCCGGGTTTCCCAGGCCTGAAGGTACGGTGTATATTGGCCAGCTTGATGTTTGTTTACTTTTGTCTGGCTTTGTAGACGTCATGTTGTTATGATGAAGAGATCCACCCCGTGCCAGGTTCATTCACATTGGATTGTCAGGCTAAGACTTGTTTGTTTGTTAGAGCAATTGTATGAGCAATTAGTTTCCATATAATAAATATGACTGCATCAGTTTACTATAGCAGCCCAAGAGTGGTCCTCACCGACCAGATAGGCGGGGTATAAATTAAATAAATAGAAATAAATAGAAAATGTTTCCTCTGATTTCAGAAGCTAAGCAGGGTCAGGTCTGGTTCATAGGTGGGTGGGAGACCATCAGAGAATAACAGAGTTCTCCAAATAATACCTTGGAGACCAACTGCTATCAGGCAGCGTGGGTAACGCTGGGCTCATTGAATAAGGGCAGTTGGCTATGGTCCTGCTTGGTTAATTGTCCACTGCCCCAGTAGTTTCCCTTGATATGGGCTTATAGCATCTATTGTTGACTGCATTAATGCAGTAGGACCACTGTATCAGTGGGAGCGGTATTCATGGCTTCACTTGTCTGTGGCATAAAAATATTAAAAGAAAAAAAAACACCTAACCTAG